CCCCCCCCCCCCCCCGCGGGGAGCCGTAGTGCCGGCGGGGCCCGGCGGGGCCGCGCACACAAAGAGCGGGGGATCGGCTGTGGCGGCCGGGCCTCGCCCCCCGCCCCCTCCCCGCCGTGCCGAGCACTCCTCCCTCCCTCCCCGGCTGCCACGTAACCCCGCCGCCCGCAGGAACTGCCGCCGCCGCGGCGGGCAGCGCGCCGCCCCGCTCCCGGCCCCGCACGGCCTCCAGCCCGCGGCGGCGGGGAAGCGACACCCGGGTCCCCGCGGTAGCGCCTGTCCGAGCCGAACCGGGGAGAAGGGCGTTCCCCTCGGGGAAGCGGGGATGCGCCGCGGGAAGGGCGCCCGCGGTGGTTCTCGGGCGGGGCGGGGGTCGGCTCCCGTCCCCGCGTACAGCGGGTCGGGCGTGGGCCGGAGGGCAGGTGCGCCGGGAGGCGGCGGCGCCGACCGGGGGCAGCCTCAGGGCTCCGCCGCAGCTCGCACAGCCTCCTTGCCGCCACGGCACTCCCGCGCCCTCCCTCCCCTCCAGCACCGAGAGCCATCAGAATGGGAGGAAGCGGGAAGAGGACCCCCGGCGGGGGCGTCGGCGCCGCCTCACCTCGAACATGAGCCCCAGCAGGAAGATCATGGCCATGCAGGACACGATGTCCGCATGGTTCTGCACGATGAACTCGTGGCTCAGCACCGGCGGGTTCTTGTTGCTCTTCTTGCGGATCGCCATGGCGGGCCGGGAGCTGGGCGCCGCCGCCGCCGCCTCCCCGCTGCCAGCACAGCTCCTCTGGCCGCGGCCAGGAAGAGGCGGAGGGGAGGAGGCGGCCGCGCAGCCGGGAATGGCAGCGCCCCCGCCGCGCTTCCCCGCCCCGCTGCGGCAGCGCCCCTGCCGGCCGGCGGCGCCTCCGCCCGCGCTCCGCCCGCCGGGGCGGCGAGGGCAGCGCCCGCCAGTTCAAACCCACCAACCCGGGCCGCGGCGTGCCCGGGGCTTGCCAGCGCAGCCCGCGGCTGTTCTCGTCAGCTTGTCAGCACAGCCCAGCCCAGCCTAGGTGAGCCGAGCCGTGCCGTGGCACCCGGGCAGCGGTGCCCTGCCCCTGGCAATGCCGGTCAGATATTCGCTAGCGATACCCGAAGCCCGCGCTGGGCACCGGCCAGCTTCACTCTCCTGCCGAGGCAGCGGCTACAGCAAGTGACCGTGGGTGTCCTCCGGGATCGCGACCTAACAGGGCGGGCTGGCCCTGGTTCGGGTCGTGGCGAGGAGCCGGCCCGGACTCCAGTGCTCCCCGGCATCCCCCGCTGTCCAGATTCACCATTGATATCTCTCTCCTCCACCGGGGGTTCTAGCTAAACCTGGTTGCCGCCAGACCTCTGGGTCCCAGCCAGCTGGGCTCCCGGAAAGCGTGCGGAGGCCGCGCTGGCTGAGCTCGTTGTGGGTGAGACCGAGTGGCAGCCGCAAGGCGCAGGTGTCCCCGCGCCGGCCACCGCCACTCCGCTCACACGGTACCGTGTAGCCAGAAAGAACAGTAACAAGACATCCTATTCCAAGAAAGCACACGGGAAGAAAACTAACCGTGAAGTGCAGAGCGAAGAGACAGAGAAGCTAGATGTGGATTTAAAAAACCAACCCAATAACAGAAGGCTCTTGTCAGGTTAAAACGATGAACGAAGAGATCTGAGAAGTCAACGTTGATGCGGTGCTGATCCAGGCTGAATTCAGGTCCTTCAACCCTCACAAAATTCATGCCATCTTTATTTATTAAAGCTTCTGTTAGGAAGTGGATACATGGAAATTAAATATAAAGAAACTGAACTAGTTTACAGAATGTAACACTGTTGTCAGAATGGCTTTTGCTGCCGCCAGCTTATGAATATTCATATTCACCGTGCAAGAAATTAAGGTGTAGCTATTTGGTATTGCTTTGCTTTGCCAGAATTGAGAGCGTGCACCAAATTCATTGTGTGAGCTGTTTTAAATAAGTTGATTTCCTCCAGCTGTATGGAGCAGCGGCTCATGGAACAGACTGATCAGCGTAAGAGCAGGTTTTTCAGCTATGGAACACCTTCATCAGCTGTGTAGAGGCTCACAGGTTTTCTTCTGGGAATTTATAATGAGACAGCTATAGTTGGTGTCTGGAGATGATCCAGGACACTTAAAAATACAGAAAAAGCTACAGAAAAATTTCCCCTCACTGCTGAATATTTTTTTTTAAAGTTTAAACAGGAGGAGCATTCATATTTTAGTCCCAAGATGTTTTGTATTCTAGAAATGCCTTACGCCTCACTGTACCAGTATTGTGTAAATGTAAGGTAAGCAGGACGTTATTTCAACAATAACAGTGTGAAAGTGTATCTCTGATTGTATATTGTATAATCATGGATAGAACATACTGTACCTGTGAAATTTGAAAACTGGACTCCTTTTTGCAATATAAGGTTGCATCTATTTCCCACATCAGACTTAAAAGAAATCAGGTCATCTCATCTCTGCAGAACATAACAAACAGGACTTAACTGGGACAAGACAGGCTTTCCTCAAGCTTTAATCAGCAAGTGCCTCGTGTGCCTGGCTAGATAGCCTGTCATACAGGCCCTCAGTTTCAGCTTGGCTGTGTGCTCGTCCTGAGGATACACTGTAAACTGCTACACTGAAATGGAGAACAAGGCAACCTGTTGCCTCACCTGAACTTTCCACACTTTCCTTTTATCAGGCCACATGAAGTTTTGTATGGCGCTTAAGGCAAAGTCAGATGGTCAGCCCTCAGTCTGCTGTTTGCCATGGGTGGCTGGTCTGTGTTTGCCAGGTTTCATTCCAGACATCCATATTTTCCAACACTAGGCTTCAAAATGATCACATTATTTAGGAAGGAAGTTCCCTACAATCTGAGTCAGAGGAGTTTCTGGCATCTTACCACAGAAGCTACCATCAATGTGTGTGTGTCTCAAAACCTTGCCAACCAAGCCAAATGCTGAGTTTCAGGTGGCAAGATCGTGGAGATTTCTGCAGGAAGCATGATATGACACCTGCAGTAACAAGACACAGCTATTTGGGAACCTTTCCTGAATTTACATGTCATCAAACAAGCTTAGAGATAGAACCAAGAACAGTACTTTAGAACAAACTTAAATAAACTAATCAGCAATGAACAGAATGGAAAACTTCAAAGAGATGATACCTACCATCAAATGTCTTGGTCTTAAATGTAATAAATGATGTTGCCTCTCAGGACAGGATCTTGAAATTAGCTAGCAGGAAGGCTGGAAACATGGTTTGTGCTTCCTTCTGTCCCCAGCTGTTTAGAATGTTATCCCAGCAACTGGCATTAGCCCTTCTAACCTATTAAGACAGAAATAGCCCCCTCCCTCCTTTTCATTTGTAACTTTTAATGCACTCTGCACAGGTGAACATGTTCACCTGAGGGATGTGAACGGGCTAATCCCCTTTTTATACACATATGGCATATCTTACATTGTCACCTTTTTAGAATAAACATTCTATTTGACATAATCAACAAGGAGCTTTGAGACTTTTTCAAGATGCCATAGCCAAGTATCCTTTATTATAAATACATCTTAGTAACAGTGCAATTTCTGCTCTTAATATTTCAAAGATACCACACACAGTCATTAATGACTTGTCTGGTTAAACAGCCTTTTTCCTTGGTTTTTTTTTTTTTTTTGAAGATGTCAGGCATTTACTGCAGCATGGAGTTTTCTATTTGTATCCTCTTGTTTTCTTCACTGCATGCAGGTTCCAACAATTCTTTAAGTGCATTCTAAAGCCATTTCCACGTATTTCAAAATTTATAGTAAAACAGAAGAAAATTGTTAAGTGAGATTAGACTTCTTTATCTCAGAAAGGTAATGAGACACCACCTCCTCACACTAGTTTCCTGCTGTCTTAAGTTCTTAGACCTCAGGACAAAAAAACTGTAATTTCACTGATACTTCTATTTCCTTGAAGCAGAATGACACCATTCAGAGCATGTAAACTATCTTTTTATCTTTCTCAAAGAAACAGTGATAATTATATTTTTATGCCTAACAAGGAAAACGTAGCTATAAATTCATGTAACAGCTATAGGAAAGCTAATTATTAATGTAAATAAGTCCATTTGAAAACTGAGTAATTATTCCAAAAGGAATTGAAGAAAAAAAAGTTTGTGGGAGGAAGGGATAAAAAGTACCTGGAAAAATATAAGTAAATAGAAAATACAATAGGAAGGAAACGCAGGAGACCTGAGAACGACCTCAAGATGGCACTTCAGAAAACATTAAAAGTGAGCATGTGTCATCATGGGGCCAAATTTCAGAACAATGAAGTTTGCAAGAAGCATCATTTTAGCAGAAAGTAATTATTTCCCTTCTCCAGGGGTCTGCCTACTACTTCAGAATATGAATTTGTTTTGGGTTGCTATTCCTGTGAGTATTTTTTTTTGGACTTGTCTCAGCTGATCAAAACAAATGCCATCAGCTTCACAAAATAATGTCAATTATTAAGACATGTCTTAAATACCAAAACATATATGCATGTTTCACAAATGAGGGTACAGGATTGAATGGTGAAAGATTTGCAAGGATGTATATTTGTCCTTGATATTTTCAAACATCTCAGATCTGCTTTTGTTTTTTAAGGCTAAGTAGTAATATAAGAAATGTATATATCATCAAATGTCACACACTTTGAATACACTAAGTAATGCAAATATTTATATACTATTTTGCAAATGTAAGGTTCACAGAGAACTGAACTTTAAAGTTAAATTCATCTCCAAACATACTTTAATACACTGTACAGTATCTTACAACCAAATACAACCTTTTAGTTAAACTATTTCTACTTTAAGTGGATTGAAGAATGCTAGTCATCATGTCACAGACAAGGTTAACTTTATATAGTGTGTAATACATATCTCAATTTATACATCTTTTTAAGCACATTCTTGCAGAATCTTATAAAGAATTTAAGAATCTGCTCCAACTCTGCAATTTTTTGATGCTCGTTAGTTAAGATTAATGAATCCTTTGAATGAATTCCATAGAAGTGGTGTTTTCATCAAAAAAACCAGAACCCCGAGATTAATTATTTAAGTAATTTGATTACTGAAATTAAAACCTATTGCACTGAGCAACCAGTGATGATGAACACAGCTGAATTAGAAAAGGAACATAAACCCCAGTATTTACACGTGTTAGCAAAAATAACTTGTTTTTTTGGAATGTACAGATAACTTATTAGAAAATTACTTTTTCAGAAGCACAAGCAGGTGAAATCAGGTTTAGATTGACATATTTTCTGGTTGTTTTATTTTGCTAGAGATTTCTTTTACGTGACTAAGTTTATAATAGTGCTTTAAGATATTATAATGTTTATAAGTTTATAAGACCTTGCTATTTGTCTTTTGCCACCAATGATAGCATTTCATAATAAAGGTAGGATTCAATTCTTCACACTCATTCAATTTTATTATCTCAGTACCTACCAGGGTAATTTAAAATTCCAACAAAGTAGAATGTGAAAAATATTAGTCAACTTACTGTAACATTGCTTTAAAATTGTTACCACTAAAACCAAAATAAAGTAAAAATTAGTTTTAATTTTACATACAGTCCCAGCTCATTGTTATGATATTTCATACAGCAACAATGCAGATTAAATACATTCCTGAGCAACCTTGCCTAACTTATAAATTGTTTTTCCATTTGAATCTGGGAGTTTCATCACGTGCTGTTAAGAAAAAGAAACCAAATTAGTCACAAACCAATATTTAGATTTTATTTATAAACATCAGATTATCCCAAACGTAACCTGTACATCCATATATATGTCTACACATGACATTTTTTATTAAAACTAATGAAATACTTTCCTTCATGCCAGTGTTCAGTTTTAATTTAAGGTGATAAACATTAACTGTTTCACAGTGTAACCTAGCAGTATAAAATGATGAATATAAAGGTTTTAATAGTCCTCTAGTTATTTAAAGTTTGATATATTAAACTTTATAGATGTTAAGAAATCTGAGGTAGCAAAGCACTTCTTGCATTTTCTGAAATTTACAACCTTTAGATGGAAAAAAAATCTGTGCTGCTAAATTAAGAATAGCCAAATTATTTTCATGTCTTCATCGGCTATGATGTGAAATAATGGCCAAATTATTTATATCCAACCATGGGATAAAGCTTACACATGTGCATTGTTCCACACTCCTGCTTACAAGACCTTATTTTTGTTTTAAGTAAGAGGAGCACATTTGTAAGAGGTAGTGTCACTCCCAATTGCAGTTATAAAAGTTACCTACCAAGAAAACCCACAATCCCCAGTATTAAGAGGTTAATTAATGACTGTAGCAGGCAGCATATGGCCATCAGTTGCAGTGAGCAACTCACTCGTAAGGTTGTAATACGCCTGATGCATTCATTATTGATACTGACAAGATGTTCCTTTGGAAAAACCTTTTGAGAAAATTAAGCAAGACAGTGTTATGTCTACAGCTCAAGTCTTCCATAATGAGAACAAAACTTGAGATGCTGCAAGGTCTCTGAGTAGGTGGAAAAGCATCAAATGGATAATAAAATCAAATGAGTAAGTGCCATGAGTACACAGGCATTTGTATGCTACATGCTCAAATCAACAGAATCAGTCTTCCTTAACAGATGCCCTTAATCTGAACTGGAAAATGGGCGAAGGTCACGTGATGTTAAGCATTTACCATAGGTCTGGGCCTAAGTTTGTATTTAAAAATTCAGCAACCCCAAGTGTTCCAATGAGATAGCTTCTCACCTTCTCTGTGAGCACAAATTCAAGTTTAAAAACCAAAACAAACTTCAAAGGGCACATCTTATGCTTCCAGGAAAACAAGACACACATCTGAATCAAGGGCCAACTACTCTCCTGGAGTAGGAGAGTCCCAACAATTATTCTGACTATCATAAAAATCTCCTAATCTCCTCTAGTTATTTAACCTTTCTAATAATTTTAAATAGTTGATACTTTGTGAACAGATACATGACTATCTCTCTTTTCAAAACTGTGATTTCTGAGAAAAACTGAGTTATTTTTGTTCAGTAAACATGAAAAGGGTGGTTTTGAGAAAACAGACCCTTAAGTCAGTAGCTCTCTCAACCAAATTATTTCCTGGGCATTCAAGATGCAGACACTCTTATAGGCAAGACTACCTTTAAAGAGAAAGTTAATTTATCCACTACTTGATCTCAATAGAAAATGCTGTTGCTTGAACTATTTTGAGAGTGAAAAGAAGGGATAAACAATCAACAGCACCTCATGCCCTTGATGAATCTGGTGGCACAAAACTGGAGATATGTACAGATCACTGATGTATGTTAATAAGCAAGAATTGAGACAATATTTAAAAGCTGGTGCAGTAAGTACCACGCTGGTAAAGTTTCTATGGCATTCTGCACAAAGCAAGCCCAAAGAGAACATTTTCTGTACTTCAGTAATGACTGTATTCATGTGACTCTAGTCTATATTTTCTTTGAATAAGAAGCAGGTTGTTACTACAAAAATTCAGTCTCAATTGTTCAGTTACTACCCAGTAGCCATTCTATCAGTAAGATAAACAGAAGGTTTAAGAAATAGAAAAAAATACACTAATTTCATGTTGTTATTCAGATTGGTAAATGCTGAAAATCTTTAACAGCTGTAAATTCATGTAATTATTTACTTATAAATAGACAGTCCTGAGTGCAGTTATGTATTGTACAGGAAGAAATATTTTCCTAAGCCTTGGCTGAGTAATGTTTCCATATGCACATGCCATTACAGAAGTAGAATACTTCGTCTTGTTCACTAAGAGTAAAGGCTCAATGTAAAAACAGTAAACTAAATACAGAGGCCCTACTTAGGTACTGTACTAATCAGAAATGGTAAAAATTCACACTGCATGATTTTAATCATCTCTACAATACATACACACAAAAATATGCAAAATAATGCATATTTTTTACTGCATGGGCAGAAACTTACATGTAAACCTGTAAAATGCTTTTTATATGCATATTTAGGTATGAATTTCAGAAAATACAGGAAGGTATAAAAGCTAGCATTAGGAATGTATTCTATAGTATGTTTTAAATAAAAATATAAAGGTATATATGAGAGCTCTAAGCACTCAACTACTTAGTACAATATTTCCTAAAAGTTTGCAAATACTGTACCACCATTCTGTATATTACTCTACTTCAATTTGTCTGATGGACAGCTACTGCAAAAAAATCACATTTTTTTCCCCTAGAAAATAACGCACTGAAATAACATAACATGAGAAATAGTGCATAGAACATTAAAATGAAAATAACCCTCCTTCTACCCTCCATCCACAACTTACACACTTTTCCATCTTTTTCCAGCTTCTTCAAGTGGACTAGGAGGTTATGTTCTGCTGCTGGGAGTAAATTTTCAGGGATTTCCTAATGGGAACAAAACATACGCATTTTGTATTTGTTTAAATATCTTTCAATTATTTTTTCAGCATATGGAACCCATGGTTTATTACCACAGATTTTCCTCTTCTGAATCGGTATGGGAACATTTAGTTAGTTATGTAACAAAAGGAAACTAAGATGAGTAAATCAGTTTTACACCAGTTAAACGAGTAGCCTAACAACACATTTTTGTTTACTTTGCTCTGTTTTTTGCATTATCCATTTGTATGATAAAAACTTTGGCCAGCACTAAGAAGACTCCTCTTCTGAGCTTTGTCTGCCCTGGATTGTCAGTGTAGCTGAGTATTTTTCAAGATAAATTTATTTCAACAGAATGACTAGGTTGGAAGAGACTTTCAATATCATCAAGTGCAACCCATGCCCTAACACCACAACTAGGCCATGGCACTGAGTACCACATCCAGTCTTTTTTTTTTTAACACATCCAGGGGTGGTAACTTATGATACATTTCTCCACAGGTATCTATCACCTCTATTCCATGACAACACTTGCATAGTTAAATATCCTGTAGCAATTAGTATCTGTAAATGAGTAAACAATTAAAAAATGTTACTTCTTCAGGAGGACAAAATATCTCTTACAATTCTTCAATGCTCATTATGTAAAAAGCAGTAACATCTGTTGCTCAGAAAAGCTGTGGATGCCCCATCTCTACAAGGGTTCAAGGACAAGGTGGATGGGGGGCTTTGAGCAACCTGGTGTTGTGGAAGGTGTCTCTGCCCATGGCAGGGAGAACAGAAATTGCTTTAAAGTCCCTTCCAACCCAAACCATTTTATGATTGTATGATAATTGCTCAAAATCCCCCTCTCTAGCTCTAGTGTCCTAAAGGTAGAGCACCTTTTTCCTTTTTGAAAATTAAAAAGTTCTTCAAACAATATGTGTGGCAGGAAAATTCACTAGAAAATTAGTTAAATAAATTGTGAACCTCGAGAATATTTTGAAAGCATGTACTTTTTTAGTAATATAAGCTGTAATAGTACGGAACAAATTCTTATATAAACAGGACAAGCGGTTTGTGATTACAGAAACATGAGAATGGGTCTATACTTGAAACCTAGTTGGTTAGGCAGGAGAACTGCAGAAGCTGAACGAACATGGGTAATGGTACATCAGCACTGCAAGATGTTCACTGTGACGTGACTACTCTTTTGGAAACTGGGTATCAGCAGAACCATGAAAAAGGAGCTGTGAAGCTGTTACAGACCTGTTCACAAGTCACAGCCATTGGCCACTTTGACACCTTCCTCGAACCAGAAATACTGTATCTCTTATCTCTGCTCTTTAGGAGGGCAACCCCACACCACAAGGAAAAATTGCAGGGGTTACATGAACGATGACGAAGTAGCAACAAAGTACTGTTACACAAGTCTAATGATACAGATAAGCTAGCCAACATCTGAGCTGCAATATCCTTCTCTGTGGAACCGCAGTTCACCTGTAACCTCCTGCAGACTGATAAATCAGGTTTTTGATTCAAGTTTTTTGGACTTGAAGTTTTCAACCATTCTCCAGAAGGCTGCAAATACACTTTGGGAAATCCACAACTAACAGTCAATTTTCAATTTGAATCAAGCACTACAACTTTATTTTTGCTCAGTCTTATGAAACTCTGCCTAAGACCTGAATAGTTAAGTAAGTTTGTAAGAATCGTGTGGGTCTCACTCCAATTAAGTGCTTAAACAAGACAATTTAAAGACACAGTCATAAGTGAACCCTGAACAGGCAGAAATATATTTTATGCCTTTTAAACAGCCACCATGATTTTCACTCAAAGACCAACACTGTTACATACAAGTTTTATGAACCTAACCTCAATTTTCTTTAGTTTGACCTAAAAACTTTTAATCAACAATTACCTTGTATACTATATTCACAAGCTCCGAGGATGTGTATGATTTCCCAGTATTCTTCTGGAAAACATTTAGAATTTGCTGTTCACGTGCAAGTCGGTGAGAAATGTAGTTTTGGATTCTAGTATTTGCATCACGTACTACTGGGCCATGACCTAAAAATCAAAACACATGTACCAGAGCACTATTACTTACATTTGTAATTAAGTACACTACTGAATAATTGAAACATTCTTATGTAAACTCTAGTAGATTTCAAAGTCATGAGAAAAAGGTTTGAATATCTGTATTACAGTCTGCATCTGCAAGGCATTAAGATGGAAAGGAAGAATTAGGATATTGAAAGTCTGAATGGGGAAAAGGGAACACTTCAAATGGAATAAGAAAAGCAAGGGAAGACTACTTCAGACCATTAGAAAAAAGGAAAGCAGCTCACTGCTGAATAGATTTAAAAGATCAGATTCAGATTATTGTATTATCTTTGTTTGCCTGTCTTCCTCTCCCCAAATGATATTGATACTAATAATTTAAACTGATACTGGCATTTGTACATTAATGCCTGATGGAAAGGACTCGGGTACTACTGTCCTGTTGGGACAAACAACAAGGTGAGATCTTTAATTGTGACAGGCAATTTTCCCAAACTGATTCAAACACTTATTTTATGACTTTAAAAACTGTCGTGTTTTTATAAAATAAAAATCAATAGAAGACAAATAAGCAAGGCAGTCAGAATGTGTCAGGGCAGGAAAAATGGAAGGCACAGGGAAAGTTATAGGTGGATCATTTTATGTGGTTTTTAAAAAACCACATTTTTTTCCTGAACTGACTGTGGCAGATCAGAAATGTTCAACTTACTGATAGGTCTTTGAAACAAATTATGAAAGGGCTTAATTGATAAAGCACTGACCTTCATAAAAAAATCAAATACTGTCTCAGGGTACATTAAAATGACAGAAAATATTGCTCAGCCATGAGAGCTATATGCATAGAAATTAAAATTATTGTGTTACCTATAGAGGAACTGACTTGCACAAATATTCATCACATGCTTTTTATAGCAATATTTCCTATTTCTTTGCCTGTACAATCCACCTGAAATAGCAGCAACTTCCAGCTCTGTCCTCTGAGTGTAAACTCTAACTAATTTATAAAATTAGTTGAAAAGAAACTACTGTAAAAAAGCATTGCTTTCTTTAGAAGTTATTTGGTATCACGAAAATCAGTGTCTTTTGAGGTTCTCAGGCTATTCAAAAAAATCACTGTATTCTTTGTACTTTTGGGTTTACTGATTAAATGGGCTTTTAGTTTTTAGGCTTTTAAACTTAAACCTTATTTTCCCTGAGGACAGGCAGCTTATAGAAAAAGAGCAACTGATTTTTCATGTTTTGAACTAAAGTGTCAAAGGAATCTACCTTTCTCTAAGTCAAAATATTTATACGTATCTCAACTTACATATTCACTTCAGCACGTTTGAAATTACTACATATACATTGAAACTTACCTTGTTTAAATAAGTACTATAAATACAAGATATATAATGTGTAAATATAAAGCTATACTGGCATATGCATTTATATTTAATGATTTCAAACATATTTAATATGAAGCTATTTCTCCTTACAAAATAAATAACAAGTATAACATTATCTCTGTTACCATCTATATATCCAAAACTGAAAATTTAGAAAAAATATAGTAAGATATACAAAGCAGAGACTGTAATGTTAAATGTCCATTCTCTTGAATTCTCTAATGACAGAAATTTCACTGAAGTGATCAAAATTAAGGGTTGCACATGGAATCACAATGCATTCTTAAATCCTGGCCCTACTCTTCCAAGTGATTTAATTGACTTGGACTACAAGACCAATGTCAGAACCTGAAATGGAACCCACATGTTGCAAAGCTAGAGACTTCATATCCATTACATCATCTAATCTGTAGCTGCTGTGTATGCATATATGTACATTAAATGATCTCAGAAAGTTTGGAACTAAATCCAGATGTGAAACTTTCCCATCCATCATTTTTCAGGGACAGCAAGATAATTATTTATTTATTAATGAATAAATGGATTAATAGCTGAATAAATGTAAAACGTTTCTGAGCATATGAAAAGCACTCTCATAATATGACTGTCTTTCCATGAATTCAGCTTTAATGAGACAGATTCATATTATTTCCTCATAACACATTCTGAAGTGTGAGATTCTTTAAATTACAGCACAAAGGACAGAGGTGAAGAATTGGCTCATGAAATCTTCCACAGAGTCCTAATTCCAGTACCATTTTTTTCTGTATTACCAAGGAACATTGTTTATTATTACAGGATGGGGAGCCCTCTGCTGACTAAAATGCCCTTTTCTTGTCCCAAGGATTCTCATAAAATGTTATCTGCAATTAGATATCATGAGTGTTGCACCCAAGTCAGTCCCACATTAAATTAAAAAATAAAAAAACAACATGTAGAAGGGGAAGGATTAACAAAATTCACCTACTCTCATGTAGCCAGCACTTAGTTTGTTATAAAAATTCATGCCATTCTGAAGCTATCACATGAGTGCTAAAGCATGGGTGGGGGAAAGAGAAAACAGGTCAAGAATTATGAAGACCTAATATTGCAACACAGACTGTTTGGCTTATATAGAACATATTGGTAAAGCAAACTACTTCTGCTGCAGTTATACCCCAAAGTACCAACAATTGTTCTGATTGGGCAATAACACCTTCTGCACAACTGCACATGCATTTTGTGGTGCATGGATGAAAAAAGTTAGTTCCATCTCAATACTTAGCTATCATCACTGAAAATGCACAATGTCAGACTGACTTCCTAATTGCAAGTCCAGTATGAACACTGTTAAAACAGTAGCAAACACAAATAAAGAGCACAGATGTTTATCCTTGGTGAATGTATAATCTAGATATATAACTGTTAAGAACAGAGTGAAATACCACAGATAAAATGGATAAACCAAACAGAATTTGGCATATATGGGGTTTTGGGTGGCAAAAATTCAGTTAGTGGAACAGACTGCATTTTGCAGGTATTAAGAAAGAAAGTAAAAATTTTGATTGAAATTCTGGAGGCTAAAATATTGTTAGTTTTAACAGTAGTTAAGCCAATAAATACGACCAAGTCACTATTCTGTCTACATCAAACTCCACATCTACGGAATATATAAGAATGTTCTTCTTAAACAGTGTTTTTATGCCTCAATCTTAAAGGACACATACTTCAAAAGAAGGCTATTTTAAGAGTGAACACAAGAGAGTAGGCTAAACATAGATGGCTAATGGAACAGGCACAACTGAGGACATAGATACAGTAGCTTGGAATGACAAGTTGAAGATAAAACAGAAAAAGTCTGAAAAAATCCCGAGATGTAGCTCTGAAAAAGCAAATGAGGAGCTTAAACCTTAGTTACATAATGAATTCTTAAAATGTAGCCTTGTCAAACAGACGTGGGATATATGAAAAGTAAATGCATTCTCAAGGTTTGGAGGAGAGAGAAGAAAATAAAGGAAAGCCATAGACTGAATGAATAGGCATCTTACTTTTTGAACATTTTGGCCTCTTGGCTCTTGTTCAAAATTAACCTAAGTCATTAACTAAGACAACCACTGTACAGTTCTGCAGCTTTCCAAGATGAATTTGTGATTAATTTGTACTTCAAAGGACACACAGGTCTCTCAAAAAACATTACTAGGTTATTCACATTGACAGTGTATGTGGGGATGAAAAGGAACAAAAGAACAACTATTATTTTTAATTCCAGGATAACATTCAAGAACAGGAATAAAGTAATAGAAGGAAATGAAATATGCTGTACAATTCCAACAGTGAAAAATTTTGGCCCCTGGAGTCTTTGGGCACAGAAAGACAAGACCCACCCTCAAATGGAGAAATTTCAGAAAGGAAAGATACCTATCACTGAAAAATTTAAGTTTTGTAAACCACCATGACAAAGTCAGCTTAGCATACTGCTTATTACCTTGAATTATTACATCAGGAATTATGTTTGATTGTAATAGTTCTCAAATTCTTAGAGGAGATATTTAAAAATTACACAATAAAAGAGCAGTTAAAACCAAAACCACTTACCTGGATAAATCAAATCTGGTTTCATTTCTAACAACTTTTTCAAAGTTTTCATGTAATCAGACAGGTCTTCTATTACTGTTGTTCCTTCCCCTAAAATACAGTCACCAGAAAATACCGCATTTTCCTCTTCTAGATGTAAAATCATATGATCATCAGTGTGTCCTGGTGTATATAAAACTCTGAAGAACAAAAAAAGCCAATGTTTTTCATACAGCATATATACTTCATTTTTGCAGCCAGAACAAATGACGGTAAAATAACACACTTGCAAAGCAGCCCACAACAAGAACCAGAAAAAACCTGACCAAAAAAGGCTGGAAACTGATGTAAACAGGTATCACTTTGCCAAATCCAAATCCATTTTCTTATACCACGTAGAGAACACCAATCATCTCTAACATGCTTTCACTTACATAACACACCCATAATACAAGTGCATTAAAGGAGCTGACTAGCCACATAGAATTTCTGTTATAGAAGGCCTCATTCTGAAGCCTTAAAAAATAAAACTGACACGTTATTTACAGATTGAAACACGTGAAGTTCTTGACAAAAACGTTGTACTTCGGAAGGAGGGTAAGGATAATATCTATTCTTTTAGAAATTAACTACAAACTTCTGAACCTGACCCAGCTAAAGTTCAGTCTCCAAAAATTTATTTTTCCCCGAACGCCCCATAGCACAGTGGAGCACAACTGTCAAATACAAAAAGCCATACAAAGGTCTTTCAGTTGTTCTATGTGCAGGTCATTAAACACCTGCATGATAAGGATTAAGGACCCATATCTTGGATGAGGGCTGTGTTAGCATGCAGCAAAGGGACAGTGGGTATGTATATAGTATATGGTAACCTGAGCTGCCAAGGAGCTGAACTGGGGTGTCCTTTCATGATGATTTCTGAAAAGCAGAAGGGCCTTACGCTGAGGCTGATGTAGACTGAAAGTAATACAACTCCAATCCCTGCTGATATTAATTAGAATCTTCTTGTTAATGGCAGATGCATCAAAGCAGTGATCAGGAACTGACAGAGCTAGTGCCAAGTGTGGTGTACAGGGCAAGGCTAAACAGCTCCCAGCCATGCTGATGCAGGGGTGGGAGACCACAAGTGCAGCATCACCTGATGCAAGACTTCCAGCTGCTACTGAATACTGAGCTCAGCAGAAAGCAGGCAAGCCATCACCCTATGGAGGCAACATCAAAATCAAGTTGATGGGCTGTAGGCTCACCTTTGGGAAATGGTATCCTTCAACTCTTGATGAAATTTTACCAGGAAGCGAAACCACTAACATGGCAAAATAGCAGAAAGAGAATGCCAGATAGTGTGTGGAAAGGTGGTGCTAGCGTGTCTTGACCCCTCACTGTGGTACACCTTGGAAATCTGAAGGTTGCTAACTAAAATTTAACATGCAGGTACTGATATTTTGGAACCAGTGGTGAGTCTGAGAGTATCCTTAAAGCAACTACCAAATTAACTCAGGTGAGAATACTTGCTTTTAATCAACCATAAAGTTTGGCTGCATTACCCCTGTCACAACCCACCTGTAGGGGCTGTGATGTTTGCTATAAACTCTCTTCAGGATAAACAAGGACATCAGACTATGTGACTGGGAACTCCCATGATTTCTGGTAAAAACTAGCCCACTATTTGGTCTCAGATGTGTTGGCTAAGAAGCCAAGCTCCCAGTCATCACAACAAACTTCTCACAGGTCCTGGCTACAAGCCCTGCATTTTTTACTCTTCAACAAGCTCCCAACTCCAACAACAGCACAGCCAGTCTGTTTGAGCCCTCAACGCACAGACCTGAGGTGGGGGACTGATGAAAATATGAATCTGAAGGCAGAAAAGGAAGCTGGCTCAGGATTGTGCTGTCCCATCTCCAGGGGACTCTCCCTGCCAATCACAACTTCCCTGCTGCTAGTCAGAATGTCTGAGACAAAATATGCCTATGCCTGGTCCTCCACAACCCCAAACTTCAAAATGAGCTAATCCTTGACTGATTTGGATTGAAATTAAAAAAATTATTTTCTATCTCCATATTTTTATCCAAACATGGGCCACTTAGGGTAGTGAAAGGTCTTCAGTATGCAATATAATACTCTTGTATCTTATATTTTTACACTGATTAAATAAAATGCTTTTGGACAAAATACATCCCTTTTCTTCTTAAATTTTTTTTCCTTCCAATCAACCAAGTGACATATTCTACAAGTGGGATGTAATTCCCATCTAAACTGAGGAAAACAAGCAAACTTCATCCTTATAGGTATATTGCCTTGTTAATGAAAGGAGTCTGAAAACGGAACAGTAAGATCTTTTTATTCCGTGTGTGCTTCAGTGAGGCACAGTAACTTCTGTTTTACACTCATTCAGACTAACATTATAGGCAGTATGTGCCATGGAAGGAAGTTCTCCAAAACTGGCACCCTACAAGAACCTCATAGGTTCAAGGTCTAAAATTTAACATTTTAAGTATTAAATGTTTTAGACTCTCCTAGGGATATATTTTTAAAGTAAAAAGAAAGGCATGGTAAATAACCCAGCCACACTACTGCAGGCTTCCACAATTTTAGTAGCAACTAATTATGTAAGAGCGATGAGAAAGCGTGTAAAATCCTATTCCATTTTCCTGGAGAAAGTGTTTTTCTAGGGAAATATTGTTAATTTCTCTGCTGAGTCCAAAGACTAAATCCAAAGGCTAATTTCTGATAATTCTCATGCATAAAAACAACGTCTTGGTATTAACATATCCTGCTGGATCATGATAAGAAATCTATATGTGTAAGTGCTGAAAAGATTAGATGTATGGACTGGCAATCATTAGAAATTAGGATACATGTACATGTCAGAATTCTGAAGAAAACAGAACTTGTAGAAATTCATGGTTACCTGAGTGTGGCTCCCTCTGTCTGTACCACATCTCCATCCTCAAGATAAAAATATTTATGTCCTCCTTCTATTGTTTCTTCACGGTGAGGGACACGAGGGAGCTTACATACACGATAATCTGAGTCTAATATTTAAGGAAAGCAAAGAAAACAATGTTTTGAATTTATAGCTAAGGTAATTCCACAGGCAGGTTACTTTTTGAATAAGTACTATTAATTCTCACACAATATGAATACAAAAGTAATAACAACAAATTCTGTAAAGGAATTTTGTATTTGGAGAGCAAGCTTATTCCAGAGCCAAAACCACTAAACAGTGAAAGCCACTGATTCTGAATACAGCACTCTGTACCAGCAACAAATTTGAAGTTAGAAAAAAATCACAAATGAAATAAATAAAGATCAGTAATGATTATATTTTACACATGTTCCTTCTTGGCTCATGAGCCAATTCCCCCAAGTTTTTATAATGCCACTAAGATTTCTCCGCTCACATTTTGCTTTATGATTCACAGAAGCATCACTCAACATTTACCTAAAGTTGGATGAAGACATTTTGACCTGTAACTTCTCTCAGCTTTTGTCATTCTGAATACAGAATGCACAGTGCAAACACCTTGGCTGGAACAGCTATAGATAGCAACCCAGAAAGACACTGATATATATATATATATAAATATATACACATATATATATAAATACATATATACACACACATATATATACACACACACATAAATACACACACACACGCATATATCTAGTCTTTACAACCACATTGATAGTCTGGCAAGCCCAAAATCCTCACCAAGACACCAATATACCCGTCCACATCTCCTAGACACCAACTGTTTTCAGTAGTGCCCAGGCTTCCTTGCAAATAAGCACCTGGCAACTTTACAACATTAAGCCTGTGACAAAGCTCATGACCAAGTCCAACAGTGTTAAGAATTACCACATTATCCATACTGCTTATTCTCTTCTCAGATACCAACACAGAAATGTCTCTTACTGTTTATTAACATGGAATACACATTTTTAGATCAGACTTTACTTGCAGACTGCCCTACTGCTTTCCCTTCGTGCTCTGAGACCTATGAATTTGGCAACAGCTAATGGGCTCCTGTAAGGAATCCTAAAGTTATGCCCATTTCTTTTTCAAAATTCAAGCTATTTGTTTTTACAAAAGTGGAAATAACAATAAATTTATCATTGCTATCTAAGTAAAATAGAAGCAGTATCAAGTTTTTCTCACATCTCTTAATACCTTGCTGATAGTAAACTAGGTTTTCAGTATTCACACATAAGAAAAATTCACTATGAAAGTATGCACAGGTATTGAAGCAAACCTGTAGTACTACAACTATTACATTCAGATTATTCATTGCTCTCAATCTACACACTGCAGCAGAATCATGAAATTGCATGTAGTTTATACAGCAATTACAGAACAATCCAGTTGATTTGCACAGAAGCATTCAGTTAATGTTTTTCTTGCCATGTATCTAACATTTTCAGCAATATCTGAAATCTCTGGCCTACCATTTGGGATGTTTTTGCAGATATCCGGTATTCCACCAGTATGATCACGATGCCAGTGTGTCACTAAAATTTCTTGAATTGCGATGTTGAACTCTGACAGTGCCTGCTTTAAACAGCTGATATATTCAGGAATAGCTGGCTCCCCGGTGTCAATAAGGACTCTTCTACACACGGGCCACAAAAAAGGGAGGGAGAGACACATACCACAGAATAAAGTGTGCTCATATGACAGCCAAGTAATACTAATAAGTCAACAGATAGAAATTTAGCAATAACTGATGTCTCCATATCCAGACGTCACCTTTTACCTCCTGGTATTCCACCCCCGTGCCTTAACGATTTCAAAAGTGGGATAAGTAACAAATGTAGGCCACGCATTTACAACTCCGCGACAAGTGGCAGAAGCCACCGTTTAGTACCGCGGGGGAGCTGCGCGGCCTGAGGCACACGCCCGCTCCCCTCACTGAATTCCTGGCCTTGGCCAAGGGTCGCCCTCACGAGACTCCACATCCACCCGCCCAAGCCGCCTCCGCGTACCAGCTCCTAAAATGCAACGCTGCACTTTCCCCTGCCCTTTTTAACGCTGACTGAGGGTTCTGGGAAGGGGCTGGTAGCGGCCTTTCGAGCTGGAGGCAGCGCACGGTCCCCAAGCGGGGCCGGGGCAGCGGAGCCTCGTCCGCCGTGCCCTGCCCCGTTCACCGAGCAGGGTCGGTACCTGTGCCCGGTGCCCACCAGGTAGGTGTTGGTGCCCTGCAGGGTCATGGGCCCCGGGTTGCAGCCCAGCACCCGCACCACCCGCGACGAGAGCTGCTCGATGCGCGGCAGCAGCGACACCATCTTTGCGGCGAATTCCCGAACTCCCGGCTCCGCTCTCCTCACGACGCCACAGGCCGGGAGAGCGGAAGGCTCTGTGGCCGGCGCTCCGCCCCCACTGCCCGCCCGTGAGGCGGCGCCTTCCGCCCCACGGTGGGCCGGGCCGGCCGCGGGTGTGCGGTAAAACCCGGCTCCTGGCCCGGAGCACCGTGGTGATGCAGCCGGATAAAGCTCTCCTTCGTGAAGGAGGTCAGTTCTCTGTGCTGGGTCGGTGCCTCGCTGCTGCCCAGTGAGAGGCATGTCCGTGCTCTGCCGGCTTTTTCTAGAGAAGTTTGTTGTAAGACAGCTGCACCTTCTCTGTATGCCAGGAACACGCCCACCTACAGCGTATGCAGGAGCTGCATATGTTCCCTCACAGCACATAGGAGCTATCTAGGATTCAGCATTTTTAATAAAATTAGAGAGCTACTGAAGAGTGCCCTGCAAAGGGCCACTAAGGTGATGATGAGACTGGAGCATGTCTTTTGTGAGGAAAAGCTGAGAGAGCTGGGTCTGTCCAGCCTGGAGAAGAACAGGCTCAGGAAAATCTCATTTACGTGTGTGAAAATCTGAAGAGAGGGTGTGCAGTAGACAGAGCCAGGTTCTGTCACGGCGCAATTGCCTCAGGTCCTGTCGTGGTGCCCAGTGCCAGGACCACAGACAGAGTACACAAACTGCAACACGGGATGTTCACTCTGAGCGTCAGGAAACACTCGTTCACTGTCTGGGAGACCAAGAGTTGGCACGGGGCCCCAGGGAGGTTGTGGAGTCTGCATCCTTGGTGATGCTCAAAACTCATCTGGACTCGGTCCTGGGCAACTGGCTCTAGGTGGTCCTGCTTGAGCTGGGGGCTTCAAACATGAACTGCAGTGGTCAGCTCAGCCATTCCGTGTTTTTGTTAAATTATGTCACCGTCATCCAAGTAGAAATGAAGTATTTGCAAGCAGCATTCATTGTAGATCCTGAAAGGTGGTGAAATTTACCTGTTTGGTTTGCAGCGTCTCTTCTGAAACCCCTGATTAATTGCCTTTCAAGTGACATTGTTAAAGACAATAGGACAGACTTGTTCTCTCCTTAAACTACATATAAATAACGAATAAACACAATTTAACTTGAAATAAAAGCTGGTAATATTCCTTTGGGTAACTTTACTAATATTAGAATTTCAAATATTATCTGGTTGTTTTATACTTATATAAAATCTCATATGGTACCTGTTATAAGGTGATCATAGCTATACAAAGCCACAGCAAAAAACTGTACCACTGATGCTGATAATCCCCATATTTATGCCTTCAAGCCAATTTCTTTGATTTATCTGGTAAATCTTTACTTATTTGAGATACACATTTACTTATTTGAGCTATAAAACTGTTAAATTTATTTTTTATTTTCATGCTCATTAAAGCATGAACAACCGACATCAGAAGGGATGTTTCAAGTCAAAGGAAATAAGCTTTTATGTGTGCAGATACGCTGCTGAGATAATCAAGAAAACCCCATACACAATACTCTAGTCTCTCCCCATATGATTTGCCTGTATGCTCTTTTGTAAGAAACTGTGACTAGACCTGAATTTACCTAATCCTGAGATACCCTCTTATGCTTATTTTGTAGCATATTTGTATAGCTATTGGTACATTCAACCCATTTTCAGTCTTCAGGTAAATTTTAGTTTAGTCATTAGAAGAAACTACTACCTAAGCCAAGGCAAGTTGTGAACTTAAGTGGTTTTCTATTTTTAAGAAAATTCTGAATGTTTAGAGAGGGTTTCCAAAATTATATAATTTTATATGTCATTGAGAACTCACTAAGGTGGCATTATTTTTAACATCACAAGACTTATTTTTCCCCAGATTAACAATTTTTTTGGGAGCTTGTTCTCCGGGGAATACTTGTTCCTGCTCTTGCTGACCTGTAGTAAAGCATTTTCTGATGTTAGGCAGGAGCTGTGAATTAGTTTCATCTGTAGGTGGCAGCAATGGTGTCTTTGGAGAACGAAGTACAGGTTCTTTGATCATCTTAATTTCCTGCACAAGCCCATCTGTTTGAAAAATCTGTTGTTTCTCTTATAATACAAAGGTTAATAGGCATGTAGTGAAAGTCCTGCTATTATGCTCTGATGTGGTACAAGAAAAGATGAAGGTATACTAGAAGTTCTTTTGGTTTTCTGATTGTTTTGCATTGTTAAATTTTTGAGGGGAAAAATGTTCTGAAGAAGGTAGCCTACCAGTAAAAAAACTAAAACCAGCTGAGTTTCCTAAAAAATAAATAAAGAAACCTAAAATTAGATTGTGGTACACAAAACACAGACTGGTATTTCTGAAAATCCCACAAGGTTCAAATCTTTAACACTAAAGAAATCTTTGAGTGCTGGCACTTGGCTTTTTTTCACATTTTAAGTGTAAGTGTTGAGGATAAATACCTCTCCACTGTGTCTGTGTAATAGCCCAATAGAACTAAGAACAAACATGTAATTCTGCAGTAATTAATTAGTCAGAATCAATTGAATAGCAGACAGAAAATGTCTTCAGAGACTAATCTTCATAGCCATTGGCACATGAATATCTTGTTGAGTGGATTTTTTACTTGCAGAATTTTTCTTTCTGTTTATTTATATTTCATATTATTTTTATCTGGTATAGAAATAGGTAAAAAAGAAAAAAACCAAAAAGAAGTGAAGCAGATTTTGCAGAGAGAAAAGCCATGGTTTGCAAGATTCCTGCATGGTGGGTCAACATTGTGTAGAAAATGTAAAATAGTCAGATTAGCAGGTTTGTGGGAGATGATTATGGGGGTTGATGAAGGGCCTGGGACATTTCTCTAATAAGGAAAGTCTGAAAGAGCTGCTACTATCTAGTCTGGAGAAGGGAAGGCTCATCAATGCCTATAAATACTTGAAGGGTCCTTCCTACCACATTTGGAAGCAAATAAAAGGATGTGTACTGAATAACATAGGAGTTTTGTCACAATTTAGAATTGTGCTTACTTTGATGCCAAGTCTAACAAGAAAGCAAATAAATCATCTAGCCAGTAATGTATCTTGTGGGTTGCTTGATTTACACTCCAAGAATCAGGTACACAAACTTTGCCCCTCCCTCTGTGCCATAGAGTTTTTGTAATTTTTTTTTTTATTATAACAAAGGTCATAGCAGTCAGTTTGTAACATCGCTGACTTAATGGTCTTTCAAGCACTGCAAGGACTGCTTAGGACTAGGATGTTTCTAAAGTGTAAGAGAGAAGCAGGAAGGCACACAAAAAAAGACAAGGGTTGATATCATGTTCATTATGAAAACACTGAGGATTTTACCTCCTGTCCTAAGAGCTAGAAATCTACAGGCTGAGGATGAGTATTATCCTGTGTAGCACAGTCACAGAGGTGGAATCACACCTGTGCCTTATACCCTGCAGCTGTTTTAAACATGCATAAAAATTTCATGTTGAGTACCAACAGCTCAGCTGGATCAGACTCTTGCAAACACCTGTAGTTTTACCAGAGGAAAACAGTTTTAATCACCTGTCCTTGGCCACATGCAGTCTCTTCATGCATCAGTGCACAGAAAGGATTTTTTTAAAGTGCCTTGTACCACAGTTTTTAATTATAGCCAAAAAGATTGTTCTTTTTTGCATAAATCTTTGCAATATATATGTGGGTATACAAATAAATGAAGGAATGAAAATATAAGTAAATATATGCATTTAATCATACACACATACACTTGTGTTTCCAGAAATATATATTTGCTTTTGCTCAACAGAACTAAAGTCTAAATTTGAAAATGAATACACAGATACAGAAACATACAGAGGTAAAATGCTTCTTTCTTTTTTTACTTTGATGAAGTAAGTTGTTAAATGATTTTATTGAAGAAAAATTTATAATCTGTTAAATTTAGTATTTATTATTAACAGGGACTTCTACACCAAATTTTTAGAATACAATTTTTATAGTACAATCTTAAAGAGGACAGTTCTTTACAGACAGCAAATCATTAACCATGTCACGTGGTTTCTATATGATTTGAGTTTACTTTGTGTTATATCAGTAAGCCCTTTAATTTCCTTGGATTGCAAGTCTTGTAAAGGCATGGATGGGAAACCCATGAATATGGAAATCTGCAGTTTTTGAAGTGAAAAAAGCTCTATCCATGGCCAGTATTAAGGTAACTGCATTTTAAAATAGAATTTTAAACATGTAGTGAGAGCTGAAGCCTTGCTAATCCAATTTTATTGTTTCAGCTTTATCACAAAATGATTCTGTATTACAAAATGATTTAGTATGTTAGTTTTTAGAGGGGCTTAAATTTTTGTTGACTGACAGTTTACTCTTCCTTCTCCTGTCATGTTAGATCTCATGTGTTTAATAAGATTGGGGAAAATTTAATTCTGATTGACACAGGACACCCTCTCCTGTGGCACTTAATTGAACCCCACCTGGTAGTGAGACCATGGTGCTCTTTGGAGTGCTATCATGCATAAAATGAAGGGCTATTAAAGGCTTGGATCTTTAACAGTGATTTCATGTGCACCTGTTAGCAGGTGTTGGTGCTTGGATTTGGAATTAAGACAATGGACATTTGTGATTACAGATTTGTGAGTCTTGAGAAGAATTTTTTTAGGTTGCCATGAGCAAAATATAAACCTTATTCCAAGAGCTGTTCCAAGGCTCTTTCAGGCCTGGAATCCTTATTCAAAATAATTGTGAGATGGTGAGCAAGCTGACATGCTTGACAATGTGTGGCTCTTCATTTATCTCAGCTAACCTGATGGCTTCAAATAGCACCAAGATGTCCAGACAGGTCTGCAGCCTGCTGACATGACAGTAATTTGTGTGGTAGGCTTGGCAGGAGTAGAAATCCTCTGGCTCACAGCTACTCTTCATGCTCTTATTTCAGAGGAGTTTGCCTGTAAAATTTCCTTTCTCATATTCCTCTTTGTGAAGTACTTACGTAAGAAAAGGATAGGGAGGCTGTAAAGAGGGAGGAATCCTGTTACTTTTTTTACTCATTTCAGGTGCAAGATTAGAGGCTACTCCTTGCCTTACTTGAATGTCTGGTACAGTATTAGTCATTAAATGTGAACCTTGGTAACTTGCCTAATTTGGCCATAAATTGTCTTCCAAAGAACTTTCTATTTGAATCCAGGTATTGACTAAGTAGTTGCTGTTGTGCTTCCTGTAACAGTAAAATAGTGAACTTGCTTGTTTTGTTTAATGTTTGTTTTTGTTTTTAATCTGTTCTAAAAATTGTAGATACAGCTTGACAAAGATGGTATTCAAGTTGCAGAATGACATGTTGTTATATAGAGTAAATATGTTTCCTTTGGATTTTCTTGAATGAACCCTGGTAATAAACCCTTAAGTTGGTTCATACACAAATTTTCAGACATAAAAAATTCAGAGTCACAAACCAATTGGGATTGGAAAGGACCTCTGAAGATTGTCTAATCCAAACCCCCTGCTGAAGCAGGTTCACCTGTAACAGGTTGCACAGGATTGCATCCAGGCAGGTTTTGACTGTCTCCAGAGAAGGAGACTCCACAACCACTGGGTAGCCTGTTCTAGTGCTCTGTCACCCTCAAAGTAAAGTTTTTCTCACGTTCAGATGGAACTCCCTGTGTTTCAGTTTGTGTCCACTGCCCATTGTCCCATTGCTGGGCATCACTGAAAAGAGTCTAGCCCTATGTTCTTGACATCTGGCCTTAAGATATTTGTGTTCATTGACAAGATCCCCTCTCAGTCTCTTCTCCAGCTTGAACAGAATCAGCTCCCTCAGCCTGTCCTCCTGAGAGAGATGTTCCAGTCTCCCAAACATGTTTGTAACCCTCTGCCAGACCCTCTCCAGTTGTTCCTTGTCTTTATTGAACTGGGGATCTCAGAACTGGACACAGTACCACAGACGCAGCCTCACCAGGGCAGACTAGAGGGGGAGAATAACCGCCCTTGACCTGCTGGCCACGCAGTTCATAGAGCACCCCACAATGCCATTTGCCTTCTTGGCCACACTGAGACATTGCTGGCTCATGGTTAACTTTTCTTTCTGTGTTTGTAAACACAGAGTTCAGTTTATGCTGGACTTTGTACTGAAGTCCCCTTCCCAGAATCTTACTGTGAATTTGATATAAATTACGTGATTTGCAAGAGATTCATGGTATTTTATTGGAGAGAATAGGAAGGAACAGCAAAAGGATTCCAACTATCCTAGCTTCAAGATCGCCTGCTCTTTGTGACCTCTTCTGGGCCAGGACATGAAACTTAAGTAGGAGATAGAATGAGAGGCTAGAAATAGCTAAGGCCTAGATCCAAAAAATAATCCATACACTCAGCACCTTTTCAGGCTGTTATGTTCCCACTTGTCTTCATTAGGAAATTAAGAACTTAAGTTCTCTTTTTTGGGTTTGTACCTAGGTCACAGTGAAGATGAACGCAGTCAACCCAAATAAAGAACAGTCATTACCTTTGTTTATGGGTTATTAACCAATTCTCTCATTTCATTCCTCTGTAGCAGTGTGCCTGAATTCACAAAATCCAAAGGGACCTGCCTCCACATGTCCTTTCCCTGCTCCAAGTTCCCTGGTGCAGCTGTTCCCCATGTATTGTCTGCAGCTGTTTGGCACTGGCACCAGCCCAGTCTTGGCATGTCCTGCATCCCATCCTTTGCATTTGCTGCCAGCAGCTTTTTCCTAAGGTATGTAAATGAAGTGACAGGACTTTGTAATTTCAACTTTACAGCTTTGCAGAGGTGAATGAGAAAAAAAATGTACTGCCTTATAGCATTTCTGCTTCACCTGCCAAATACCACAAATCTATAGAGGAAAGACATGTAAGGACTACCCAAGAGGTGACAAGAATCCTTGCAGTGTTGGGCAATGAAAAATGTAGTCATAGCTACAAATTAATTATATTTGCAGTGAGCTATGTGGTTAAATCATCCATGTGTAGCTACACATAGCTTAGAAAACATTTCTCAAAGAGGTATGGAGTGATCTAGGTCTGGCTCCTTACAAGCCTCTTTAATAGGAGAGCTGCAATACTATTTAGCCCTTTACTACTGCATGTGGAAAACCAAACAGGAATGATAAAAACACTGGATGTATTCACACAAATGCAATAACACAGTTGGAAACTGCCAAATGTTGTTTATTATGATACCATGGTGTGTGCTCAAGACAAAAGTTTTCTCAACATTTTGTGCTGTGCACAGTAAAGAAGAAGAGTTCAGAAATGATGAAATTTCTAGGAAGGAATCAATCTTTTTTTCCATAAGCTGCTTTTAAAAACTTGCTTGTTTCTTAGTGTTTTGCAGCTCTTAGGAATTATCTCAACAGCTGCCTGAGTGGAGAGTCACTGTTTGAGAGAGTGGGTGTCCTCAGCAAGCTCAGAAATGCAGCTCTCTTGGTATCTCAGCACATTCTGCATTTTGTACTTGCCTGTTCAAATGATCATGAGAATTGCTGTAGGATATTTTAAATGATGAAGATATTGTTACTGCTAATCTTCCTTTTTTCCTTCTTCTTTTTAGGAATCAGTAATGAAGAACGATCCCATCAATTAAAAAGAAAATTTACATTTATCTTTTCCATAATAGATGTGTTTTAAAAGTTAATTTAATATTTAAATCGAGAGCATGGAGAAATGCAAGTCTCTTTGCCATAATAAAAATGGATAACCCAATTTTCCTTTGTATGAAGCAATATGAGCAGGTGGTATTCTCAGGAAAAAGACTCCATTGTAGGAAAGCATTTAGATTCCTATACATTAAGTGAGGAGAGAATGACAACAGCGGCAGTTTCACACACGAAATTTACTAAGCAGAATTTCTTTTTTTTAGTTGGTGGAATGGTAGTTTATGTAGTTGATATTGTCATGGACTTCTGGGTAGCTAGTAGATATTTCTGTCAAGGACAATATTCTTGGAGTATATTGATACTCTGTTTTAGAGGTCTTTCATCAATTATAACTCAGATATTTAGTTATGAGTGGTTTAAAAACGACTGGGAAGGTACTGATGCTGGGAAGCTGAAACTGGTTTTTCTAGTTCATCTCTTTCATTGTGGGATTTTTATAAGGTAAGCACATTTAAACAGCTAACATTTAAAAATTAAACATTTAACAATTAGAAATCGTGGTGCTTTAGGATGGTTATTAAGAAGTGCTTAGTATGGCTTCAGGGACAAGACCAATTCTGGTCTTAACAATTAGTACTCTATGAAAACAAATGAATTTTTGTCTGGTTATGTCAGTGATATATTTTGTCAGGTTTTGATGGACATGTAGTTCTTCTTCCATATACCTGTAAGTAATGATTTTTGTCATTCACAACCCTACTCTTTTTGATTAATTAGCCATTTGATGAGGCATAGCTAATAAAAATGATTGCTTTGTAATGTACTACTGTCACAACTGATAAATATGAGTTTTCAAAGTAATGTTAAGTACACTAAACATCTGAGACAGCTGAGGAAGTAATGTTTGAACCTGAGTGTCTATTCATATGTAGGAAACACACCAAGATTCAGAAAATAAATGAATAGCTGAATAGTTAGTAAGGATACTTGCAGCAGTCTTCCCACAGGGACTGACTTAATGGTGATGGGAAACTTTGTTTACTTAGTGGATTACCTGAACTCTAAAACAATCCACAAAACTCTTGGATTTGCCTGAACTCATACCCTTTCCAATGAATATCTCTTACCATGAATTTCTATGATTTGGAATCTTCTTTCTCAGAATTAGCTCCATATTTCCTGAGTAGCTTATTATTTAGTACACATCATTTTGTCCTTTGACAGTGTTGTCAACTTGGTCACTTGTTCTTTATTGTAGTAATGATATTTTCTCCAGTGCTTCTACTTGTGCTTGGAAAATTTCCAAGAAGTTATGTATGAGTTACAAAGTTCTTTCAGCCACTCCTCAGAATTCAGCAGTGTGGTAATGCATACTGTAAAGTATAAGCTGATAACAGCAAGCTGGCATCTGTGCTTGTATCTTTGTGGTTAATTGTTATATACTTTTATTATATGTATTTTCCTTAGGTGTATCAGGGTACAACTTCCTCCTGTTCTCCCTCTTAGTCATCTGATTTATGCAGTTAATTTAGGCAATGAGTCTCTCAGGTTTATCTGTGCAGTAAATGGATAAAAATAGATTCTGTCAAGTCAGGTCACACTTGTTAACGTGAGATTCTCCAGAAGGCCACTTGGGGCAGAAACCCATATTCTTCATTCAAAGAGGAAAATGAGGGCCTAACCAGTAAATAAGATTTGGTCAGTGAATTCTGGATGCTTGAAATTATAAGATGTGAATAAACCTTTTCAAATTTCCTTCCCTCCTTCCCTCCTTCCCTCCTTCCCTCCTTCCCTCCTTCCCTCCTTCCCTCCTTCCCTCCCCTTCTTTAGTTTCTTTTATTGGAAAGAGTGCATACCTGCAATTATATTTCATATGAAAGAGTATGCTCTACAAGGAGAGAAAATTTAGTTAAAAATGTACATATTAACTAAGCTGACTAAAATTATATTCAGCCTGACCCATCTAAATGGCTCACACAGGTGTTTATAGAATTGAGAATAGTCTTGACACAACAGACTACATTAAGACAATAACACAGTCAAGGAATGTGGGAAAATGGGACATATCCTTAGGCCATCATATGAATTTTGGATCTGTCTGATGTGTAGCAGTGTGCTTCATCAGCCAAGGATACACCTGTGGGAGGCTAAACATTAGCAGTGCATAACCTTTGCTGTCAGAATAGAAGGTCACATAGGCAGCAGCCGCTGTATACTGGCAGCGGCTGTTTGCCTCTTGATGCTTAAAGGTAGCTCAGAATGCGCTGCAACTCTGAATAGAAGCAGATGAAAAAGATTTTTTTGCATATTTGGACAAATTAATCCTAGATCAGTGAGGCATTAGAGTAAATATGAGTGCTTTGCTGGACCTGGGGTTATTTCATTACATATTTCTAAAAGGCAGTGAGAAAAATCCAGAGCAAACAGAGGTAATGGGGTGCAGGGTGGGCCCTGTTCTGAAGCAGTACCAACTACACCTGTGGGAGATGCATTCTGGAAAAGGAACTCCTCTGCTTAGTGACAGAGCTCTGGGAGGAGGTGAGTAGGTTGAGGAATATCAGGGATAGAGAGAGAGACACACAGAGACTGCTGGAATCACACCTTGCCTTTCCTGAGACAGCCCCACAGGCAGGCAGGATGCTGTATGTGGATGATTCCCTATCCACCCTTCACCTGGCTGAGCACAGTGACTTAAGGCTAGGGGGCAACAAGTTCCTGCCAAGTGCAGCAGGTATGTCTCCCTTGTGACTACCCCACCTTCACACCTGCTCTTGCAGGCTCTACAAGTGGAACTGAGCAATAACAAGGATGTTGGGTCATCTGGCTTGGAGAGCTCACTGAAGTTGTTACCCTACACCCTGTGTCAAAATCTTACTGCTCTCTACAAAAGAAAGGTTGTCATCAGGTGGGGGTCAGTCTCTTCTCTCAAGTAGCAAGTGACAGGATGAGAGGAAATGGCCCCAACTTATATTGGGAAAGTTTGGATTGGATATTAAGAAAATTTTCTTCACTGAAAGGGTTGACAAGCATAGGAACAGGTGCCCATGGAAGTGGTTTGAGTCTCCATCTCTGGAGATATTTAAAAGATGTGGAGATGTGGCACTTAGAGACATGGTTTAATGGTGGACTTGATGGTGCTAGAGCAGTGGTTGTTCTCAATGATATTAAAGATCTTTTCCAAACTAAATGATTCTGTGATTCTATGTGTTTGATCACATTTTCTTAATATAAATTTACTGACCCAAGTATTGACTTAGTTACATCAGTTTCATAGGTTTGATTCAAGTATTTTGATGCTTAGAAGGTGAAATTTAACATGCAGCAGAGAGTAATTTTCCTTTGATAAGAATTTTCACAGTGCTGAAAGCTGTGACTACATACCAGAATTTAGACAGGGCAATCATTATTGCCTAGCCACTCACACCCTGCCTATATGAATTTCTAAATGGCACCCAAATATTTATCAGTGTAGTTTGATGAGATGGGATGTGTAGTATGAAGCTGGGATTCAGAGGGGAACCATGTGATATGGAAACATTGGCAAGGCAGCTTGCTTGTCACATGTGAAGGCTGTGAAGCAACAAAACCCTGTCAGCCCTGTGAATCCCCAGCCAGAGACAAAACCTTCCTAATTTTACAGGATCAAACTTCATCACTTGTGAAGTTATGATGAACGTGTAGGAACAACTCAAGAACAAAGAGACAGTGGAGCTGTGTTTCCATGAGTGTTTATAACAAGTAGGAGCCCTGTGATCTGTGTTCTCCACAAAACAACAAAGGCAGAAACCCTTTTTTTTTAACTCCTGTCAAAGTGAATGATATTTAAAAACATTGGTAATTCTTTACCATTCACATATGACAATTCCAGTTGTAAAGAAATTGTAGGTTTTTTACTCTCTTGGCTTCCACATAGCTTACTACTTTGAAATAATGAAAAAAATATTCTCTTTAATGAATTTATAGGGAGAAAAAGTAAATGGTCAACCTGCATTTGTCCGTGTTATTGACATAACCATTTCACATTCCATTTAGGATGTACCTCTACCTAAAATACATAACTAATCCAATACTTTTAATTAATGTATTTTTATTACAATTTTAGTATCTTTTTAAAAGACTTTTTACAGTTTATGAATATTGAAGCATGGAACTTCTATAGCAATAGATATATTATAGGAAAATAGATTACAGGAGTTTAGCTACAATAGTTTCAAAGCAGGTACAGGGTTTAACTGAGCTGTGGGCATGCTAAAGGAGAAAATTTAAACCTGACATCTTTTAGTATGGACTGAACTTTGCCCTAGGCTAGCACTATAGCTCAGCACTTGGTCTAAAAGTTGGCTATGAGCCTTTCCTACTACATATGAAAGGGACAGATGAGAATGAGAATGTAAGTACAAAATACTCTTAAAATATGAAAATTTGTCACAGTGTCACATAAGAGTATTTATAGTTTATAGTAAGTCACATAAGCGTGTGGAGCTCAGAGGACACCACCCTGCTTCATACATAATCAAAGAGCAGTAGAAGTATTTGTACTTCACTAGAAAAAAAATAATGTATTCTGTAAAGTGTTCAAAATCAGAAGTGGACTATCCAAAACCGCTACAACTAGTGACAAATACATAGCATACCATCTTATAGCAATATAAACCTAATATACAATGTTCAGAAGGATTGCACTTTGAAAACTGATGAGTGATTTCAGGTGTGCTTCCAGCTGAAGTATTCCTTTTAGGACATGTCTTGCCTTGCATATCACCTGCCATCTTGGCTATGAGTTCTGCAGCTTGAAATTTGTGTAACTGTTTCCACTTCTTGCTTGGACAAACACAGGCTCTGGTGATTGAGTCCATGGACAACTAACAGATCAGCCTACCCAATTGTTTTTTTCTTGAAAACATTGCAAACTTTCCAGATTTTTACAACTCAGATTCAAGAACCAGATGTTCTGGAGTACTAATTTTTTTATAAAAAGAAATATAGCGTTAGATGCCTTGCCAAACAGTTCAGTTCTTTGCTTATGAGTGATTATTCAGGGAACAATAAGATAAATACACAAAACAAGAAAAATAAGAATTAGTTTCTTTTGTGAGTAAATAATGGATCTAGAGCCAGCTCGTGGACTGAGTGGCAGGGATGCAGTCTATGAATTGCTGCAAGGAAAAAAGCAAAGGCCCATCCCCTGAGGCTCTTGAGCAGTAACAAAGTTCCTCCACATATACTCCTATTGTTGCTTCCATGTTGCAATTCTCACTTGCATGGTCAACATGCCTTAACATACCAGGGAATAAGTCATGAATCCTCTAGCATGCCCTTAACCCAGGAACTGACAATCCTGGCTGTCTTGCTTGTAGCTGTGGAAGAGACTCCTACACTGCCTTCCCTGTGGTCAAAGGGTTTGGTCTTTAAAGATGGTAAAGGTGTTAAACTTTTAACCTCTAAAGGAGCAAGGGATTCTTCCCAGCTCCCTTAGCAAGGAGAAGAGTACTGTGCTCCAGTGTTCCATTGGGATGAGATGAACCTGTGAGATCTGGTTGTCTAATGATCTGCTGCCCTCTGTTCTCTCCATATGGTAAATGCAACAGCGCAGGTTTCATCAGGTCTGTGGTGTGTGTGATCCTGTGGATGGCCAGGGAATTAGAAAGCTGCACTTTAGCATGAATCTTGAAGTTATCTCAGTTCGTTCTATCTATCTCAGGCAAGTTAAGGCATAGGACCTTGCCTTTCTCAGCCTGTGTATTAGCAGTCTTGTACAACTGTCTAAGGTAACCAAGTGTTGGCCTGTGGTGTTCTGCTTAATCTCTTAAGAAAATAGATCCAAATAAATGATGCAACTGTCATACTTTATTTACTAAATCAGTTTTCCTTTTGATAACCTCTTTGTAAGGCTTTAAAAATTGGCTGAACAGCAGTGAGTTTTCTTTAAAAGGGACTACTTATGCTGTTCTTGCCTGCTGGTTATAGTCAAAATAGGTTCATTGAAGAAGAATGTTAGAAGCTCAAAACATCTGGGAACTAAAGAGACAGAAATAGGCTTGGAAGTGATGTCTGAAGGCTGCTATGATCAAAATCCTGTTTATGGACAAACACATGGATTTATATACCCATAAAACCAAGAACTTAGTATAAGTGAAATGTTAACAGTTGATTCCAAGAATCATTATTAGTCTAGATCTATTTATTACAGAAAAAGAAAGAATACTTCTATGCATAAAAATCGTCACTACTACTACTACTACTACTACTACTGTTAAAATTGCTACACACATTTTTTCATTCCTATCCCTTTTTCAAGCCATCTCTTATCAACCAATGCATGTGCTTTTCTACACTGTATCCTATCCATGTCTCAGGACTTCTGCTATCATAGATTTCTCTATCCTACATCATCATGTATGCAATAAATATCTCATTTGATGCATATCTGCCTGTTACTGTTACCTATAAAAAACTATGAGTATGGCACAAAAATTAAAAAAAAAGGTAAAACAAATCATCTACCTGGTCAATTGGAAGAAATCACCAATTTTTCTGCAGAAACCCCAAGCTAAACCAAGTAATACAAAGTCACAGGTCAAGAAAATTTCAGAGCAGGCCTGGCAAGCCTCAGTTCTGAGGCCTTGCACGGCTCACACCTTGCAATGACAGTCTACTGCAGTGCTGCAGAGGTAAAGACAGTCTACAATCTGCCCGATCAGTGTTAATGACCACTTGAAGTCAAGTTTCCAGAAGAAGAGAGAAAACATTGATTTGCTTCAAGGCAGCATTTACAGGCATACTAAGGAGGATACTTCCTTCTGCTTTCATTTCGTATTCCAAAAGAGCTTTTATTTGCTGCTGAACAGTTCACTGGAAAGAAGTCTTTAGCTGTGAAACCCACTTCTGCAATTACAGACAAAATACTTCCTACCGTTCTTAACTTTCAAAGCAGTAATGCAATGAGTCAGGTCACTCAGCAGGACTGTGTGGTTCTGTATGTGAGTCCATTAGAGGCAGCAGAAATACTATAATTTCCAGCATCTGGAGTTCTGGTCCTACATCAAATTATAGGCACCATCCTGTTTTCTCAAACTCAGATGTAAAGATTACCATATACATCAGCTAGTTCATCCATTAATTATCAAAAGATATTTTGATTAAAACTTAAGTGTTCTTTCCCCTCTCACACTTCCAATCCTGAAGCAAAGCTCTTGAAAATGAGAATAAGAGTTCAGTTTATCTCCAAGCAAAGCATTAGGGATATCCCAAACAGAATAGGTTCTTTACAACACAGAATGTACACCACTTATAACTGACTAATTCCATGCATCTTTGCATTTACTGCTCTTTAAAAAAAAGTGTCAATTTAGGCTTAATTAAAAATAAACCAAAACTATCTAAAAGTCATTCAGGTGGACTCTTTTGCCAAGGCAAATGGTTCCTTCATGTAAAACCACTGAGATTGTTAACAGAATCGTTCAACCCAGGAATCCAGGTGTCTTTAAAACCATTTTCTGAAATATAAGTCTTCTGATTATTTAGATTGTAGTAAGTTTTTTTAAAAGTCTGTTTTATGTTTGCAATTCATTGGGTATTATACTTGGGGCTTATGGATCTATATTCTCCTTACATAGACATGGATGTTCACAGCTGGATATTCATTAATACTCTGAAAAGGATACAAAGAAAGTGAATTAATGTCTCAGAGAGACTAAGGAGAGATGCTAAGTGAATTTTCAGAAATTCAGTAATTTAAAGAAATAAGAACCTAACTAAATAAAGCTTGTAATCTCGATTAAGACAAGTCTCATTCCATTTTATTAGTTTCCTTATTGCATGGTATTGCTGAGCTTAAATGATTCTATATCTCTCATATCAGACAGATAACAGACAAAATTTTTCTTGAGTAGAAGATGGAAAAAGTTGTTGTAATGCCATATCATTTTATTGAGTTGGTCTTCTAAAAAGTGCTGTCTAATCAAGTGTCCTTTTTAAAACAGGTATTGGTTTGCTCTGAAATATGGCTGTCAAGTTTCATTTAAACAAAGAAGTAGCAGAAGTGCATCTGAAGCAGACTCTTCCAGCTTCATTCAAAAACAAGCTATTGATGCAGTGACTGATATTAACATGCTCAGGGTGTTCAAAACTTTTCTTGAGACCACACCACAACTTTTTATTCAGATTTACATCCTCATGGAACATGGCAAAACTCATTTCTATCAATGTAAGTCTGTCTTTTTTCCTTCTGTTGCAAATTGAGTATCTTAGATAAAAATATAAATCATGATAACTGGATAACATTTTAAACATGTCTTGGAAAACATACATTCTACTGTATGATTACTCTGCATTTAATTAAAATTCTGTCTAGTAGATGGTCCATTCTGCTAAATCAATGGGAGGGAAGATTTCACTATAAAAATGAAAAGTCATCTATAAATACTGTACATCATAAATATAAAAAGTCATAATATCTAATAGAAACATAATGATGCATCACTTGAAAACAAGCTCTTAAATGCACTTAGTATATAATTTGCAGATCAGTTTGATATGTGTGCTTTTGCTCACAGATTCCTTTAAAACTGCTAGCTAGGCATTTGAAAATCAGTAAGATAATTAAAGCAGCCCTATGAGCTGTCACTACCATTACCCATGTTACAGGTGAGGGACAGAGTCAAAACTAAATCTAAGGATATGTCACTATTGTAGAATGCAATATGGTGAAGAGATACTGGTTCAGCTCATGGAAGCAAGACAGCAGCTGTACCATTTCCAGCTCTAAAACTAGCAGAGTTATTGGCAGGACATTGACTTATTCAGGGTTGGAATTTATCTAACCAATTGGGTTTTTGATGTCTAGTGTCCTTTCAAAGCCCATAGAGTCAAAATTTACTCATGGAAAAGGATCAGGCAAATCTCATCTTGGATATGACCATGTGAAGGATCAAGTCTTACTCATAGATTTCTACATTTTAGACACAGCTGACTCGTATTGGTTTTAAGCTTAAATTTTTATGGTCTGTTTGCAAAACTTTGGGAATTTCTAAGTCACCTGTGTATGGAGATGGCAAATATGACATGCAACTTAGGCAAGGCCATTAAGGGCTAGGGGCTGGGCAGGATTACATAAGCACACCAAACAGCACCAGATGCCTAGATTTAAGTAATTAAAGTGAGCCTTAAAATTAGGGTGACTTGCTTTGGAACAGAGAGTAATATAAAACTGGGATAAAGGAAGTGTTAGGAAAGCATGGCATTTTTTAAAACTTCATTCAGAAATCATAGTGTAAAATACATATATTTTTCTCTGATTTAATATTTTTCCTTGTGTTTTGTTTAGATGCTGCCATTATGATGTCTTTTTGTGGCATCTCCTTATCAATGGTTGATTATCAGATATCTCTACGAAAATCTCTGCCTGACAAAGATGAATTTCATGTGGTTTCCAAGTTCATGTATCTCTTCTATAAGTTGCTTACCATCACTTCTTGGATACTCAGTATTTCATTGATCACTCTACTAAGTGTCAGAATTTCTGTAATTCTGCTGATATTTCTTTGGATCTGTGGCTTCACTTGGACTTTGAAACAGCATACAACATTTTGCAAGTCTAAGAAGATGGAATATCTGTACAGAACTGTAGTTGGAATCATTCTGATTTTTTCATTTTTTAACATAAAGGGGAGAAGAACAAAAGTTTGCATTTCTATTTATTATGCTGCTCACACTGTAGTGACTCTAGGTATTTTGTTTGTATATATGTTCTGGAAACCTTCCATTATGAAAGAATTATGTTTTACAATTGTAAGCATCTTAACTATTTTGAGTCTGGTGTTAGGTATCCTTTTTCTTACTGTTTATTACAGCCATCTTCATCCCACTACTTATTGGAGACCTCAGGCATGTTCAGATGAAGTTGACAGAGTGGCGGGGCAAAAAGATAGAGTTAAAACTAGTAGATTTCAGAATTTCTTAATGCAATGAACATTACAGGCATGTTTTTTTCTGTTGTTTTGTTTTGATTTGGTTATTTTTGTAGCCTTAAAAGCAAATTCTTGCTGGACAATGTGTTTCTTCATTGTTACTTGTGTGTCATCACTGTGGTGTACATAGTGGACCAGAGTTGTTGGCTTTGAAAAACTATTTGTTTTCCACAATACAAAGACTGTAACATGAACATATATGTGCTGGTGAAAGTTACCTTTGACAAAGAAACAATTTAATCTGTTCATCCAACACAATTCACTGTTTTAACTTTTTAGCAATGCAAATGTAACGTAGGAAAAGCTTATAGTAAATTAAATTAAATCTAACATTAAACCCACATTCTATTAACTTATGTTTATTCTGTTAAAAACAAGGTGGTTTTTTTTTTTGTTTGCGTGTGGGTTTTTTTGTTTGTTTGTTTTGTTTTTTTTTTCTCTTTCCTTGTTGGAAGGAAAGAAGAGTGCATTTAAAATAACTGAGGGCAGTGATCAGTTTTCTGTTTCTCCCCATCACTGTAAGAGCTGAAGTCTTTCATGTTAACACATTGTACTGCCTTCTCCTTGAACATCCACTGAAGAAAAATACCTTTGATTTATGGCTTAATCACTGTCTTGCCACAAGGAAATTTGGGGAGATATTTTCAAGCATTTTGAACATCTAGGTGTTTTAATTACTTCTTTTTTTTTTTTGTTCTGTTAATCTTTAACACAGTCTTCTGTATTTAGGGGTGATGCCAGCTAGTTCTGGCTTATAATAGCAACCTGAGTGATTTATGGATGGCAACAGGAGTCTTGCATACAAATGAAGAACTATTTTCCATGATGCTTTCTTCTCCTTTGGGCTCTAAGATGTAACACTTCAAATGCTGATTTCCACTGAAATATGAAGCTATGCAGGGCAGGCAGTGATGTAATGTCTTGTGTCTTTATCACTGGAGAAAAGAGGAGCAAGTGTTCTGATAACTTGCACTCACTGGGGCTGGCAAAAGATAGAACTAACTCATCCATCAAGAATTTTTGGTAGAAGGCAGAGTGAAGTTAGAAAACATTTCAGTTTTGTGGTCAAATGCTAAATCAACAACAATGAAATAAGATTGATAGCCATAGTTTTTTCAGAAATCAAATCTAAGGGGGAGTATTTCAGAGCTGCTGTGTTTTAAATCTGTATTATGAAAACTTGGGGCTCTTTCTCTGCCTTCCTTTCTCCTTCCATTAAGTCACATTTGCAGTTAGATTGGCCACAGGTAAAGGTAAGAAACTAGGTTTGAGAAAAGAGGCTGTAGATAAGAAAAACGGATAAACTTTGCCAGGAACCAAATCTGTTAATATTATTTATTGAAAGCAAACTTCTGTAAAACTCTGGGGGAAGGGCTGATGCTTTGGTTGATAATTAGGGTGCTTAAGAGCTATGTCTTATGTCTTTTGTGCCAAGTTAATGGACTGCAGACTGCTTTTTTCTTGTTACTCTTCCAGCCTTACCAGAGCTTGGGGGACGTTTCTAAGTGTGTTTTTTTCCTGTTCTGTCTCCACACTTCTCTTTACCAAGCCAACCACATACATTTCCTTGATCTTATTCAAGGAAATTAATTTCTCTGTGCATAGTTTGGACTGAATAGTCTGCCTTTCTGAGGCTACACATAAGAACTTGGTGTAGTGAGGAAGAGTTTACCTCTAAAATCCCTCATTCCTGCTTAGGGGTAACAAAGTGTGGTCCAGAAGTTAAGACAGAAAAGCACAATCCATGACACAAAGCAATAGTTTTACTAAAATTGGTATAAACCCCAGTACCTTCACTTCTTTTGCTCTGAAAGAGAGATACCCAGATTTGTTAGCCCTGGAACATCTTAGGTAAGAAGAAAAAGCCCAAGGCTTTCATGATTGTCCTAAGTTGTGTCTTCTTTATTGCAGAATATTTATTACTGGTGATGGTGTCCTTGGCAGCAAAGTGCATACCTGCTTTTAGGCTAAATGTACTCTTATTTTGCTACGGAAAAAAATAGAAACCTAAATAGTGAAGACAATCCCTATATGGCTTCCCATACTTTTACTGTTTGTCAATCTAAAAGCCTGGGAAAGGACTAGGGTACGGGATGGAGGCGAATGGAGAATATTATCTCTATCTTGCAGAAAATGACAAAACATTGTTTAGCTATTTTTTTAGAAGATGACCTCAAACTTTATACATGATCTGAGAAGCAGATCTCTGGGGAAATATGAGATCCTAAGAAGTCCTAGTGTGGGCAATTCAACTCTGGGGCCTCCAACTTCTCTGCCTACTGCCAGAAATCTGGAGCCTGTGTTGCTCCTGAGGAAAATTCGTTTCTGGTGTAACAAAATAATTTGTCTTGGTGATTTTTTTTTCTCCTTTCAATGAACTGACAAATTCCAAAAAGAAGTCTTTAATTTCCATCTCCCTGCCCAATTCCTAACACTCATTTTCTCTCAGGGGAGAAAAGCTGAACATTGTGCTGCCTTCTGTTGTTGTCCTTATGTCTCCTCATTCCCTCTTCTGTGCCCCTAAGAAGAATATTACACTGAAGTTGATTCAGTAGGAAACACATCTAGGTGGCTATTTATGTCACTGTAATTCAAATGCACTCCAAACCAAATTACATCAGTTTCAATCCTTATTTTATGCTTCTAAGTTCTAGTGGATAGGACTTTAGCCATATCCTAAGCCTGGAAATGGTCCTTTGGGAAATAATTTGGATTCTTTTCACAAATCTTAAAGATCCTCAGTGTCCTTCCACCAATATGTCTCCATTTTGCTGTCATCAGTCAGGGGGCCTCAGGAGATGGGAATTCCTGATGGTTTGCTCCCAGTAAATTTTTATCTACAGGGGAATATTATGAGAAAAAAAACCAAACACCAACATTAAACTCCTCCCTTTTTTCTTGACTTTGAGTTCAAGATTTTAACTTGATTTCCTTCATTTTCACAGTTATGGAAACGGCTTCTAATTTATCTGGTCGTTCTAACTCAGAATCACTTTAGGAGGGAGGATAAGAAAGGACATGAATTGACTCCAGACACATTTCATATCACCAGTGACCACTTCAGACAAAACAAAGCTCCACTTCACCTGGGTATAAAGTTCAAACAATAGACTTCATATATATCCTTTCTGCTTCCCAAGTACCCATAAAATTCAGCTGCCACTCAGTGCATGCATTGCGCTTGACCTTGTCATTTTAATCTAACAGCAAATTGAAAACAAATGTTTTTTTTAATTTTTTTTTTTGTGTTAAGTATGCCCATTACATCTTACAGAAAGTATTTTAATAAGTTAAATAAAATTAATAAACAATTTCTTCCTGTTTTGACTACTGTCAGACCTGGGTAAGAAGAACAATATCCAACAGAATTGTTTTAATTATCCTACTAATATTCAATGTGCCATTTGATGACATGGGTGAGCTCACCTGATGTACCACAGATAGCACTGATTTATGAAGCCATAATTGGGTTTCCAATAAACATTTGTCAAAATAATGTATTCATTCAAACCAAAGCCTTCTTTATTTATTCATATAAAAGAGCACTTAACTTTCAACAAAGAATTGCCTGCCATCAAAAACACTCCATAAACGGGGGAAATTTATGAAGATACAGTACCAGAGGGTGATCAGTGGAAGACTAAAGTTCACTTTAACCCTTTGAAGAGCTGAGTTCCACCTCTTGCTTGGTACTGGTCCTGTATTTCTCATAAACCGTCTCAAGCCCAAACATTAAGCTTTGTATATTTACACATGAAAGTACCAACTTTTTTTTTCCTACCATTGATTCTTATATCTCAAAGACTGTTTCAAAACTAACATTTCTTAATTTTATTATACAGTCTAGAAGCATGTTCACAGCTCAAAGTTCTTTAGGCCTACCTACATTCTACCCACAGGTTTCACCATATGTACATTCTTCCAAAAAAAAAAAAGAGTAGGCTTTGAGAGGTTAAATAATGTATCTCGTCTGAACTTGCGGTAATACATGTACTTGTCATTCATTCCAGCTGAAGAATTTTCCTCTTCTACCTCTTTGCGCTCTCCTTTATTTCCTTAGCACTTTAATTTTACAGAATTTTAGTAGAAGAATAGAAAAGTAGATGGGCTGTACAACTGATATTTGAATGGAGTGCAGCTAACCCCTCAGAGTCCACCTTCAACAAAAAACGTTCTTTTACCTCCGGTTGGCTAACATATAACAAATACAAGTCCCTGAAGGTTCCCACCATGTAAGTCTTATGTTTATTAGCTTAGTAAAATGTAGACCTTGGTGTATTGGGGAGTGTTGCTTCAAGATTCACGTAGCCTGTAGCACCCTTTGAAAATACAACCTGCACTAGCCTTCCTATGACTGTATTCTGGTTTCCATATTTTTAGCATACTTTTTATTTCTTACAGTGAACACAGACGTAAATAACAGAGTAGGAAGAGAAAGAATAGGAAGATTTCCAAGTGCATGTTCATGCCTCTGAAACTCTGATGTGATTTTGCTAATCTTGATACAAATGTCAATATCATTACCATTATCATCACTATTTTGTCAAGGTGAAGAGGTTGATAATGCTTAGAAGAATATCTCTGTTGCAACTGGAATGCAACAAAAAGTTAGTGGTAAGGTTCTGTAATGCTTTGTCTGCTCAGCACTGACAAGTGATCTTAAGTCTCCCAGATTTAGCACAGGTATTTTTAATGGGATTCTAGAAAAGACACAGTTAACTATTTTGGTCTGTAGGTAGTAGGTAAACTGCTGAAAATAAAGGGCTAAATGGTACTGGATACTTCCTGGCTGCTATGAGAAAGTAAATGACAAAGCTACATGTTTCCAGGTCACTTGCAGAAAGATACAGAGAGGATGAGACACAGTGAATAGAGGAAGAGGGAGCTGGTATTTTTTCCACGTAACGTACTCTGCACATTCAATCTAATTTGAAGTGTGTTATGCTGTAGTAGAGCAAAAAGAGACCTCAAATATAATTTTGTAGTTTGTCCTACAGCAGG